GTACTTCCCCTTGCTTGCTATAAACCTGTTGCCTAGGGGAGGGTGGTAGTTCTTCTGATAAGAAAAATAGCTATTAATTGTTCTCTTTTTATCGTCTCAGTAGCGTTTATAGCTTTTTATACATCTATTGCATTCCTCTTTCTAATGCATGCATTTTTGACAATGACCTGAGCTACTGTCAGACTTGAGATCAGTGCAGTGACATAATGGCTTTTTGCTTTGATCTTAGTTCCTTTCCTTGTAATTCCTAATATTTGATTGCCTTTTTGAATTACCTTCTTAGCCTGTGCTGATTTCAGATACATTCACAACAACTGAGAGATTTCTTTCTTGATTGGTAACAGATAATTTAGTCTCTATTATTATGTCTGTAAAAAATTTTGTTTGCTGTCTTAGCACTCGGCCACTCAGTATCATAGGATACGTCTGTAAATCTCATATCATATTCTGAATAATTTTGTGATATCTGCAAACATTCTTCCCTTGCTGCTCGCACATTTTTCATCCAAATAATTAAAAATGTATTAAATAATAAAGGGCCTGTGAGAGTCTACTTGTAACATCTCACTATTTAGAAATCTGGCCATTTATTTCCACCCTTCCCCCCTCCACTTTAAAATATAAATCCATGTAGCAATCTTCTTTTTTTTTTATCTCAACACTTTCTGAAAAAGCTTGTTGAATTCCAATGTTTAGCATTTGATCTATTACTCCAATGCATATACATGCAAAACAGTACAGACAGAAATCTTGATGACATAAAACCATAGTCATGCATGTTTTAAACAGCAGCTAGAGGTGCCAATTTTCAATATGCACAGTGATATTCAGCAGAATGCACTTTGGGAACATGTGTATTTCTTTTACTTACTAAGCATACTTTAACAGATTGCTTACAATTGAAATCAGTAAAGTACATTAAAAAAAATTATTTTTAAACGCATGTAGAATTGAGATGTAGAGCAGTTATCAATAAATTTTAAAAGGTTATTGCATCAGAAATGAAACAAATACTATAATTCTTTTTTCATCAATTACATTGAACTTCTTAAAAATACCATTCATAAGGTTTTCTGGCATTAGACACCATTAAAAGCTTTCTGCTGGCACTCTGTTTTAGTCATATTCATGGTGGTGCAGATGGTCTTTTCTGCTTCACCAAGTTAATATGACCATGTTGTACTGCGTTACTGATTTAGCTGTCTAACTGCAGTTCAGCTGGAAAGAATACTCAGTGAGAATTTTGCTTCTTGCTAAGACTCTTGGGCATGAAATGGAAAGCTTAAATGAGCTGTTCTTCTATAAACTGTAATAAATGGTCTCAAAGTTAAAATCCTTATTTCTGCTTTTTAATTTGAATATGCTTTGGAGGAGGAGTACTGTTGTTCTTCTTCAGTGTATCGATAATGAGCTATATGATGTGTTGGACATTCACATCCCTCCTGCAGTACTGCAGCTAAAGCTAAAGCTATCAGGAGGCCCATTCAGGATTTCTGTGGTTTACGTTACACTTCCTTGCTCAGTACAGTAATAATACAATTTGTCAGGAAGCAAAATTCATGGCTTTAGGCTTACTGTCCCAGTGCATACTAGAAAGGTAAGTGGAAGCTTTCCTGGCATACTGGGTGTGGGGTAAAATCTTGTGTTTGAAAGTGGACAACCCTTGCTTTGCGTAGGAATGATGTCACAGCAGATTTATCTTGGCTTACAGTACCAAAACATTTTTGAGATGCAACTAGCTATTTACTATAAATATACAGATAATGTTACATTAAAATCCTTATGTTATGTTGAAGTTGAAGACTAGATTGCCAAGTTCTTCTTAGTGCTGAGTCAGAAATTTGTATAATTGTGGCTTGTTAAGAGCAATTGAGGAAAGCAGTTGAATCTGAGTCACAATTCCAGACTTATGTTCCACCTCCTCCTTTCAAACCTTGCTTCACTGAATAAGTAATTTGCAAATGAGTTAATTTGTTAGCTGCATTTATTCTTTGTGCCATCTCAGCTACCCCTTAGAGCTTCTAAATAGTAGAACTCAGTCCAAAAATAAATTGCAGATAAGAAAGGACACTTCTAAACTGTTTGCATAGTTATCTCCAAAGTCCCAAATTAAAATTGACTTTTCTTGCCTCTTGAAAGCCTTTTTTTATTTCTGTTTCATTTTCGAGGAGATGAAAGGATAAGATATTTAGAATAAATAAAATAGAATGTTTTGTTAAATAGTTGTGTGAAAAAAGTGTAGGAAAAACCCCTATCTTGATAAGAAAAATTAATAGCCTCACTTTTCCATAAGTATTGAAATGGGAAATGTTAACATTGATGGAAAATTGCAATTCATAAACACTATATATATAATTTTGTAGGAGGGAAAAAAATAAGAAAAGAAAATTGGTTCCAAAAGACCTTAGTAACAGTTATGATCATTTTTGCATATTTCTTGCCACATCAATGCAAATTTCATTTTGAAAGTGGGGTATTCCAGTCAAAACATATATGAAGATTTGTTTAGTAACCCAATACAATTGTGTGGCAAGTAATTCCACTATCTCTTCTGTGTAAGCATTCTGTAACAAGGAAGGGAAATGATATTTGGCTTGAATATTGCCTTGCTACAGTGAAGGTACTGTTCAAATTCGTAGTAATGAAAAATGGGTACTTACATACTAGACACAGTGGCAAAGTCGGAAAAATGCCTACAACCAAGAGAGCTCTACTTTCACTACATCTTCTTTAGTAGGTTTAGGATTACTGGTAGATGCTATGTGCTGTCGCAAATTCTGTTTAGGACATGTCAACACATACAGGATTCCCGGTTTCCTATCCTGACCACTGCAGAAAGGTATCCCTAAAAGGCAGCAGCTGGGAGGTCATGATGGCTCCTCAAAGAATTGCCTTTTTTTGTAGCATCTCTAGTAGCATTGTTACTTTCATGATGATGCAGAGAACTAAGTATCCAGAAACCAGTATCTGAAGCTGCTTTCAGATAAGTCAACCAAAGGGAAAGGAAGTGGTAGCTGGTCTCAGACTACCTAGGTGGGAGCTAGATGTAGTCTATTAGGCTCTCAAGCTTCTCTAGATTTAGACCTTCTAGAATCAAATGCACTCAAATGCACAAAAAGTTTACACAAGATAAATTAAGTGAAG